GGGTGACAGAGCATTAAGGTGTTTGTCACAGACATGGTAGCTCCCCAGCAAGCAATAGTCCAACCATATCTTCCTAGTAGTACCAAGCATTGGTTGTATGTGGGCTCAGCATCAGCATTGTTTGGACATTTGATTTTTTTTTTTTAAAGCAGGGATTGTTTCTTTCTTCATTGTGCTAACTAATTGGCATCCTTTACTTTGGATTTATCCCATCTTTGTGTTCATTTGGCTGCTATATGTCCAGGTGGAGACAGAAAAAAGTAGAGGAAACAGGCCCAGGACAAACAGGCTCTCCTGTTGCACAGACACTCAGGACTGGAAGAAATTTTTCCCAGAGGACCCTTCTTGCTACAGAGGTTCATTGCCCCGCCCCTGTGAGCGTGATGTCCGTCCCTCCACACTTACTGCATTCCCTTCACTTAACCAGATGCTTCTTGTCTCTGGTATTACCACAGACTTGTACATCTCCCTAGTCCAAGGGTACCATATCAAGAAATGTATTTTTGATATTTGGGTCCATGTGGTCTGTTTGAATCCTGTATTCAGAAGACAAATATAATAGTCATGAATAAAATTAAAGACACCTTACAGGTGATTTCTGGATTGCTAAGACTTACCGAGTTAGTTGTCACGTGGGAGTCAAGCTCTAAGGTGGTTTAGACTGTAGACTGGTTGGTGTCTTATGTCTGTTGTCTATGCATTAAATACCGTAGGATGGGCAACACTCTGGACTCTTGAGATGCGATACCAAATGGCATATATAACATAATTTTAATTTTAGCTCAAAGTTTACAAAGATACCCTGCAATTTATTGCATTGGTACTGTATGTAGAATATTTAGCAGCACTTTACTGGGGCACTTAGTGATCCATAGAAAAGAGTTTGATCCCATCTACCACGGGGCTGAGTGTCTGCAAATTACATGAGTTCACGGTCAGTTCACTGACAGTACCCTTAAATAAATGAATAGTGCAGAAAAGGGGCCCGATCCTAGATTTAAAGGACAGAATCAGAGAAGACATCACCAGTGTACTGTCAGTTCTCATGGAAATAAATGACCTAAAAATCTTTAACAATTTTACCCAGGTCAGAGAGCTATTTACCGACAAACTAGCAGTCACACTCAAGGCTTGCGGTGGTTGTATATTAACTAGCTGCCTTTAGAGTGCTTGCCGAGAGAAGCTCAGAATGCTAGACTCCCTCTTGTTCTTTGCCACTGTGTGAGGGATGGCGCTGAAATGGTCTTAAATGAAGAACATATTGTAGTTAATTGTCCCCTCTCAGGAAAGAGAAATTGTTAGCTTTCACGACTCCCAGGGCTAAAAGACAATAAGACTATCACTTTTCTTTTCTTCCTTCACTCTCTCTCACCCACCTCCTCCCATGAAGGTAATATCGCCTCAGGGAAGCCACGTGTGGGTTTTTCCTCTAGTTTGAAAGAACCACAGAGGTAAGATAATAACAATAGGATTTCTACCATAGCAGCCCTGGCACTTCTTTCCCTGCATAAATTCCTGGTACAGAACCCTTCAGTGGATCCCCCGCCCTCTAGCCAGGGGATTTCCAGGATTCTGAAAGGGACAAGAGATGATTGGGAGGAGATGAAATATTGACATCAGGTCCTCCTAGAGACAACGGATTTCTGCGTTTTAAATTTAAACATTTTTCATACTTTATGTTACAGACCTTTTCAGAGGCAATTAGATTTAACGTGGACTACGGAGTGTTTGAAGTGGTTAACAATGCACCCCAGCTTCTAGAAAAGCAACTGAAAAGAATTCTGCAAAGTCAAAAGCCTCGAAATCCCATCTATGATGTCATAAGGAAAGGGAAAAGTGATGCTAAGCCCTTTCGAAAGAATGTCCCCCGTGAAGACGAGACCATTAACATCACCTACACTATCATGGTAAGCCAGAGTGTTTGAGTCTTGCAAGATGAAGGAAGCCTTTTGTGAGCCAGAGAGATGGCTGGCTCAGCAGCTAGGGGCACTTGCTGCTCTTCCAGAGGGCCTGGCCCCATTCCCAACACCCACATGTGGCTCTCAGCTGTCTGCAGCTCCAGTTCCAGGGAATCCAGTGTCCTCTTCTGGCCTCTGTGGCACCAGGCAGGCACCCGGTGCACACACACGCATTCAGGGAAAACACTCATACACAGAAAATGAAAATAAACACTCATACACAGGCAATAAAATATAATTTTTTAAAGGAAGCGCTTGGTGAAATTGACATGGCACCACACTTACACACAGTCTTTAGGCACCACGTTATCTGTTCACACATAATGGACAGTTTAGGTGTTTTGTTGATTTTTATCAACCAACACGAGCATGGTCATGTGATTTGCCTTGGATGTATAAAATGCCAAGTGCATTGATGATAGTATAGATATGCAAACTTTATGGTTTCGTTTCCTTCTAGGAAATGCGTGTAGAAAGGAAACTTATTTCTTCTGGAGTTTTTATTTATTTATTTATTTTTATAATATTTATCCATTTATTTATTATGTATACAACACTCTGCTTCCATGGATATCTGCACACCAGCAGAGGGCACCAAATCTCATAACGGATGGTTGTGAGCCACCATGTGGTTGCTGGGAATTGAACTCAGATCCTCTGGAGGAGCAGCCAGTGATCTTAACCTCTGAGCCATCTCTCCAGCCCCATCTTGTAGGGTTTTTAACCAATCCTATTTAGAGTTGGGAGCTGAGAAGCCCGGGAAGCCCCGAGGTATCCACACCTGCAACTGTATCAGTTCTGTTAACTTAAGGTTTCCATCTTCTGCTTCAGGTCAGCAAACCTATATCCAAACCAGCTAAACTCACTAGCTCTGCTTCCTTGAAAAAAAAAAAATCACACGCACCTTCAGCCATGCCTCCAGTAACTACTCCTTAGACTTACTGTGTGGATCAGGGACAATGACGGTGATTATTTGAAAATGCTATTTCAGGATGAAAAATGTGCCTACTCGTAGCTTCAGACAGCTCTACACCAATTCTCCCGCTACTAATTCAGACACATTCCTCTCCCTTTAACTTCTATCATAGTCAATGCTGATAATAATTACACGAAAGCATTGTAAGAAATTTAATTATGTAAATACATTAGCTAAGAGTTTTCTAACTAGGTATGCAAATATTTAGTAGCAACAGTAATCAGTAACACATCACTAATTACATTAAACTTATGTAGTTTAATCATCCCAATTAAAAATTAGAGTCAGTAATCCCAGCAATCGGGAGGCAGAGGCAGGCGGATCTCTGTGAGTTCAAGACCAGCCTGGTTTCCAGAGCGAGTTCCAGGACAGCCTCCAAAGCCACAGAGAAACCCGGCCTCAAAAAAACAAACAAACAAAAAACCCAAACAAACAAACAAAAAATTAGAGTCAGATGGGATTAAAAAAGAAGGCTCAATTATTTGCTGTCTAAAACAAACCAACCTCAAATATCAAATAAACATATTAGAAGTAAGAAAGTATATGACATATAATTGCTAATTAAAAGAAAGCTAGGGTGATTATATTAGTACCAAAGTAGACTTCAGAACAAGGACCCCTGCTGTGGATAAAGAGGGATACTGCACACTATTAAAATGTCAGTTCATAGAAAAATACAACCAGCTTTAAATGTGTGTACCTAATAAGTGCTAATCAAACATAAGGAGGAAGTAGCCAAAACTGCAGTAAGGCTTGAGATCAAAACATTGCTGTTATAATCAGGAGAAACAGTGGATCCTAAGGACTCGAAAGTTCTGTATCTCACTAGCAGTGAAGCCAACCTGTTGATGCTGATGGAAACTTCGCCCCCCAAAGCCACAGGGCATGCTCTTAACCGAGTACACTTGGAGTGACGATCGAGACAGATGTTATTCTGGAATCAAGGTTATAATAACTAAAATATATGAAATTAGCAAAATACCATTGATCACCCCAGAATTAAACCACAAGTCAATAACAAAAATATGGAAAAATCTCTAAATACTTAAATAATTAGGCAACACACTTCTAAACATCCCATAAGTCAAAAGATAAGTCTCAAAGAAAACAAGAAACCAAACTGTCACAGTTTGGGATGCAGCTAAATTAGTCATTAGAAGGAGGTTTATAAATTAACTAATAGGAAATCAAAATAAAAATTCCAAGCATTGCTGTCAGTGATCTGTCTTCTACCATGGGAAACAAGGAAGAGAAAAGTTAACTGAGGCCCAAGGTAAAGAAGAAATAGAATAGTCATGAACTTCTGAGCCTCCTGTTCTGGACCACAGGCTTGCACATGCTGTGACTACAGCCATGCACCACCATGCACATGCTGTGACTACGGCCATGCACCACCATGCACATGCTGTGACTACAGCCATGCACCACCATGCACATGCCTGTGCTGGGAATTGAACCCAGGCTTTTGTGCATCCTAGGCAAGTACTCCACAAACTGTTGCAATGGCAACCTGAAAATGACTTTCTCCTTGTGTTTTCTTAATAGTGCCTCAACCGAGAGCAAGGTATTAAGTGGATCAAAAGAAAAAGACTTCCGGCATTTCTGGAAAGTGATTGCTACTTTGAATACAGGTATCACGCTGCCATCTGACTGTTTTTTTGTTTTTAATGCCTGTTTGCTTCACAGAAAGTTATTTTTTTTTATGATATTGATTAGAGTTTGGATACTATCTGCCATAGAATAGGAGTGATTGGCAAAGATCATACAACTTTTCTAAAGAAATTTCACAGTTGTATCTCTTTGATCATTTTACCTTAAAAATTAGCTGTCCCTCATAGTGGCATCTGTGTGAAAACAGAGGGAATGTTAGTGTAACACTAAAAACCAAATGTGGGGGACTAGAGAGACCTCAGCAGTTAGGAGCGCTTGTTCCTGCAGAAGACCCACACAGTGGTTCACAACCATCCCTGACTGCCGTCCCAGGGAATTTGATGGCCCCTCATGAACTCCACGGGTACCAGGCATGCACATGGCACATGTTCATATATACAGGCAAATATAAAAATAAATGAATCTTTAAAAACATTTTAAAACCACAGAACATCTGTGTGGGACTGAGGGTCCCCTTTTAAAGTGTAAACATGGAAACGTTTTACCAAAATTTGACTAAAATTCCAACTCTGGTTAGAAAAATACTTTTATATAAAACACAAATGGAAACAGAATACTTGCCTTTGTTAGTCTGTGATTTCTACAATCCAGGTTAGCCAAATTGATCTCTCAAGCAACGTGGAGCAGCTCAGGCATGAATTTCATAGTAGGCACAAGCATTCCCCCCTGGGCCCTGAGAAAACCACCTACTCCACCTCCTCCTAGCATCGAAGAGGAGAACATCCTGATCATGAAAAAGTTCTACGTTTCTCTCGGCCAGGTGAGATGACGCTTTTCATGACTCAGCACATAGAAACCTTTTGTCTCAGCGTCAAGAGAAATCGATTACTCTTGACGACCCCAAAGCAGAGTCAGGTTTTCTTATGGGTTTACGCTGACTCATTCGATGCGCAGAAATGCAAATGCAAATAGAAGACCTTTCCTTATGTATGGGGAGCAGCAAATGAGATTTGAGACGCTTGCTCCACACCACCTAAGAAGAAAGGGCACACACACTATATTCTGAATTTGTTATTATAGCAGTTCAACAAAGATGTCAAGCATTGTCTAGATAATACTTAGTTGTAAAAATGCATTGCTATTTAATTATTATCAGACACATTTCTCTCCCGTAATTGCTTAAGCGTGGGGGGGGGGGCAGTCATTGTGAGTGATTTAAATAGACATGACTTATAATCAATTGTCCTTTAAGATTGTCCATAATACAGTGAGAATTTGCGTTTTATTTATTTATTTATTTATTTATTTATTTATTGCCTCCAATTACGAGATCTTTCCTCTTGCAATATGCCCAGGACACACAAGTGTATGTGAAATCTGGACTGGTAGGTGTGTGGCCCATGGGTGCCACTCTCTTATTCTTCGTCTATGTCAGACATTGCCAATCAGTTGTGGCCTTTTTTTTTTTTTTTTTTTTACCTGCTGAGCTACAGTTAGGCTTCAATTTTTATCAACAGAGTGTTCTAGACCCCCAGTTAGAGAGATCAGATGGAGTTGGTGGTGCACACCTTCGATCCCAGCACTGGGGAGGCAGAGGCAGATGGATCTCTGTGAGTTTGAGGCCAGCCTGGTCTACAGAATGAGTTCCAGGACAAATCAAGCGTACACAGAGAAACCCTGTCTCGAAAAACAACAACAGACGGGAAGCCAGCTATTTAGCCTTCTATGCTGCAATAGATATGTCTACGTTGTTTGAACACACATTGTTCATTTTGCTCTGTCACACCTAGTCACTCTTGTAGTCTGGGCATTCCTATCCAGCAATATTTACCAAGTGCCAAGAAATACACCGGTTCCCGGTACCCTTTCTCTGCTGAACCATGCTTGATTATGTGTTAAAGACTCACTTTCTGTGGTACTCATTCTCAGTACATTATGGAAACGTCAGAGGTGCCATGAAATGTCTGTTGATAGAGCCAATGAACCTCCAAGGGGAACTCACTTTTTGACAAGGGAACAGCTTAGCACGTAGACAGTGAGAATCTGGGCTGATAAACGGTTCTCTCTCTTACAACTTCGACTGCAAATTATCCATCTGCAAATAAGACTGCAAATAAGATTTTGTTTATTTATTATGTATAGTTTTCTGCCTGCATGCCAGTAGAGGGCACCAGATCTCATAGCGGATTGTTGTGAGCCACCATGTGGTTGCTGGGAATTGAACTCAGGACCTCTGGAAGAACAGTCAGTGCTCCTAACCACTGAGCCATCTCTCCAGCCCTAGACCCATTTCTTAAAAGCACCAAGTGGGATAATCAGGCTGACTGCTCACTTCTTCCACCCTTTTAACAAATGGAATAGAGTAGGGGCTCAAGCTAATGTTGAATGAATTTGTAATTACTAACAATAAATGACTTGGATATGAGCGAGCTGTAGCAGCTCACCTGTATCCTACAACTTGGGATGCTGAGGTACGAGGATCTCAAGTTGAGTGTAAGGCCAGCCTGGGCTACCTCGTTAGTTTGGGACCATCCAGAGCAATATGTAGAGATCCACTATTTCACAAAATCCGTCAATAAAGAACCAAACAAAAGCGAGGGCGGCGGCGCTGCACTAGAGTCTTCTTCATGGTCTGGACCCTTACAGACACAGTGGCCACAGAAGCTTCCCCTCATTTCCTTCTCATGCTTTGTCTTGTTGTGTGGCCTGATTTGCCCCGTGGAAAGTGTACAATAGACAAGGGATCCTAGCTCCTTTATGTGAGCTGTGCCTTTCCTGTGTGTGGCAGACTGGAAAAAGGGGAAATGAGACGCATGCTGGGCAGCCCCTCTCCTTCCTGAGATCTCCTGAGAATGGTGGACTGCAGGACAGACAGAGAGAGTGATGGACAGAAGGACAGAGTGTGGTAGACAGAAGGACAGAGAGAGAGAGAGTGGTGGACGGGACAGAGAGAGAGAGTGGTGGACAGAAGGACAGAGAGAGAGTGTGGTGGACAGAAGGACAGAGTGTGGTGGACAGAAGGACAGAGAGAGAGAGGTGGACAGAAGGACAGAGAGAGAGAGAGGTGGACAGCAGGACAGACAGTGTGGTGGACAGCAGGACAGAGAGAGAGTGGTGGGCGTCTGGGCAGAGGAGTTGCGGTATGGAGGTGTCAGGCACAGGTGTGCAAATATGAAAAAGAATGAACTGATATTTATTTCCTCCCCACCCTGTCCTTAGGGTTTTTTATTGGTGTGTATATATGCATGTTTGTCTGTGTGCGTGTTTGTGGTGGAGTTGTTACAGGTGACTGGGAGCCGCTCTGTGTGCTAGGAACTGAATTTGGGTCTCTATAAGAACAGCCAGTCTTCTTCATGGCAGAGCTGCCTCTCCAGCCTCCATTCTCTAATCTGCCGAGTTTTTAGTACAATTTTCTTTTTTTTATAAAAGATCTTCCTTCAGACATTAGGTCCCACAAATTGAATTATAGAGTTTTTTTTTTTTTTTTTTTTTTTTTTTTTTTTTTTTTTTTTTTCAGTTTTGACTGTCAGAATCCCAGTAAGGTATTGTTAAGCTGTCTCTTTCTCCCTAGGCCTCCTGTACGCAAACAAAAGATTGGTTTACTCTGGCAAAGCAGAGTGAGAGGACAGTCATGAGTTTTTCGTTGCCCTGCTGTGTATCCCACCACAAAATTTCGCAACCAGGTCTTTCTTCCATCTCTGGTAAGCAACGACAAGGCCCCGTCTGCTGTAATCGTGCAGTTCAGAGTTGAGGGACCACCTCCCTTGCACTTCCTGTGGGGTTTTGTGTGTTTGTGTGTTGCTGCTTAGCTTGACTGTTGTTATTGTGGGTTGTTGTTTTTGAAGCTGAGTCTCCTCATGTAGCCCAGGCCGGTTTCAGACTCAATCCTGCTGCTTCAGTGTCCTAGGTACCAGGATTGCCGATGTATGCCTGGCTCGATTCTATTACTTCAAGACGTGGGCAGGATATTCAGAACCGAATTCCCGATATGTACTGGTCATGCAATTGTGTTTGCTGCGACAGGGTCACACTGTGCCCTCCAGGCTAACTGCAGACTCCCTAGGTGGCTCTGACTGGCTCTTAGCTGCATGGCAGGCCATGCACAACTCTCAGCTGCATGGCGGGCTTTCCTGAGCATGCACAGCTCTTAGCTGCAGGGTCCTTGTGGTAAGTCACTCCACTTGGAAACTTTGGAGTCGAGTGCTGGCATCCCTTCACACATTTACAGATGGGAGGTGGGGGGGAGTTGTTAAACCCATTTTCAATAAAAAATTCGTAATGTAAGGTTTTTAGTCCATGGAGATTTCAAATCCGGTGACAGAAAGTGGTCACCAAAGAGCTGTGGATTGGGCAGGATAGGAATGACACGTGAAACTTTCATATTTCCCTGAATTCTGAAAGAGAAAATGAGAACTAAAACTGTATTTTTTTGTGTGTAAGTGTGTGATCTTTTATAAGTCCTTACATTGTCACTTTAATGATAAGAATTAGATGCATGAGAGTTATTAAAGCCTTCTTATAAATATTTAGCCCAAGCTGGGCAGTGGTGGCACACGCCTTTAATCCACTTGGGAGGCAGAGGCAGGTGGATCTCTGGGAGTTCGAGGCCAGCCTTGTCTACAAAGCTAGACAGAGAAACACTGTCTTGATAAACCAAAAGAAGAAGAAGAAGAAGAAGAAGAAGAAGAAGAAGAAGACGACGACAAATTTAGTCCATCTGCAGGAGGGCAAAGTTAAGTCCTGATGGCAGTTTTCCCCTCATGGCCTCCCAGCACGGCTTGAGAATCCTTCTGAAGCTACTGGTCCATGCCATCGCCCCATTTCCTATGGCACCCATCTAACACCAGAAGAGCGTGTGCCACAGCTGACCTATTATCCTTTTATAATTTAATACAGAGAGTTTAATCTACGAAGATGGAGTGCACCCCAGGACAATAAGGAGAACATCTAAAATGGGCCCCGAATCAGAAGAAGAAGAAGAAGGGTCCATCTCAATAAAAGACAGCCCTTCCCAAGCCCTTCTGAGGATATACAGAGAGAAGAGGGTCTTCCAGGAGAAGACGTTGCACTTTGCCAACGTGGACGAGTTTCTCAACGCCTACATAATCTTCATCTTGAGAGAAGCCATGAAGAAAATCAGCGACCATTCCTTAAGCAGCACCTCGGACTACACCAACTTCTACAACATATCCCGGGTGGTATTTGACAAAACGGAGCCGGCGCCTAGCAAGAAGGCCGTAAGTTCACCCCCAAACGAAACAGCAGACCAAGTCTCAGAAGAGAAACTGGAAAAAGTAAGCTTGAGTTCCAAGAGCGAAAGCACTGCATCAGAGAGCAGGGCCGACTGGTGTATTTCCCACAGAACCTACGACATTGGCAACAGAAAGGAGTTTGAAAGATTTAAGAAGTTTCTAAAGGGGACATCAGGAGAAAGGTACTGGTGGTTGTGGATGGACATTGAAAGGCTGAAAGTTCTCAAGGACCAGGGAAGACATCAAAGGTATTTCCCTTTTTATCCTTTTCGATAGCTTTAAAAAGCAAATTGTAGAATATTTGTTTGAGTTACTCAAGCACAAATATTTAATATTAAAATTGTAGTTTATGTATCAGAAGGGATAAAAAACGCTATTTATGATGATAAACTTTTGATATCACAAGTTTTCTGATTTCATAGCTCAACGATACCAGGGCTGGGGAGGTGGCCCAGTGGTTAGAACTCTGGCTGTTCTTGCAAAGGACCCAGGTTCAGTTCCCAGCACCCACATGGTGGCTCATGACCACCCATAATTCCAATTCCAGGGGATCTGTTGCCTTCTTCTGAACAGTATGGGCACCAGACACAAGATGCCAGCCAAACACTCAAAACACATAAAATAAGTGAAACTAATAAATAAATAGGATAGCAATAATAGTTATTTGGGAATGATGTTTCTTCGCATAAGTTCCAGACCTGCTCTAAAATTATTCTACTTTTTATAGTGTCATAATTTTATAAAAATTTTATGCAACAAATAATTTATCAGCTGTATGACCACATTCATAGTAGACAGGTACAGATGTCAGTGTGTGGGCCTCTTGTCCTAGCAGCCTGCCTGGCTAACACATCCCGTGGTTTTAGGTCAGATGCCACGCGTCTGTCTGTCTGTCTGTCTGTCTGTCTGTCTGGAGTCTCTTCTGAAGGTATAATGGGGCTCAGCTCTGCATTCAGCTGGCTCCATATGCTTCGGGTTACTGTGAGCGTTCATCCCTACAGGACACCGCTTTAGGGAAGTCTGTATGCCTGTTGCTCCTGACCCAAGCTGAAGCACCTTAGACTGCATTTCATCTTAAGGGCTTGGTGGAGATCAACTAGTGACAGAGTTATTATAGTTGTTAGGATAACATTTAGGTCACAGAGCTTATGCTTTGAACAGGGCTCCACAATGGTTGATGCTATGAGCTGACTTGAGCCATGTTTGTAACTTGGGATTTTCAGGACCAATCCCACAGACTTCCGTTGTCCCCATAATGAATCCCTCCCGAAGCAGCAGTTCTACTATGGCAATCTATTTCTTTGCATTTTCCAGTTTATGGAGGAGGTGGCCTGTGCTCCTTGGTTTATGGTCCCTTCCTCTATATTCAAAGCCAGCGGCATGGCATCTTAGCTCCTTTCTGATGTCTCCCTTATGTCTTCACGGCTCTGGCCTCACGGTGTCCCTTGGGGCTGTTGAGTCCCAGGGTGATTTCCCTCTAGTCCTCGCTTACCCACGTGTGCTGCTTTTTTTTCTTTTTACTATTACAGGTAACAAAGTTACAAATTTTAGAGATTTGGTGTGCACAACTCTACAAATCTATCCAGCTTTTTTGAGAAAAGCAAACACCCTGAAAAAAATCTATGTCTACAAAAACCCTTTAGTACTCTGTAATGAATGTCGGTCTGAGGTCTTTATTACTTGTCCAAAACATTTACATGTGGGAAATTAAACATTATATTGACATGTCTATAACTGTGCTTTCTCTTAAGACATCTTGAGAAAATGAAAAAATGCTACCTTTTGAGCAGTGGGGAGCTCTACCTTTCCACAGAAATCCTGTCAAAGTTTAAGCTGCTGCACGGATCCCTGTGGACAGAAGAACACTTGAAAAAAATCCAGATTGAGGTGCTAAAACCTCTTCTTCTGTATTGGTAAGGAAAATGATGTGAGTTAAAGTTATTTCTGTTTACTTTTCTTAGGCTAGTTAAATATAACACTATGGAAACTTAAAGTGATGAGTGTATCTTTGCTTTTCTTTGAAAAGTCTCTACCTTTTAGATGCTTCAGGTGCTGGTTTGAATGAGAATGGCCCCCCTAGGCTCATACATTTATATGCTTAGTCACCAGGAGTGAAACTATTCAAAAAGATTATAAGGATTAGGAGGTGTGGCCTAATCCTTGGAGGAAGTCAGGGTCAGACTCTTTCTCTCAGTCTGTGGATCATGAGGGAAACAGACTAACCTCTAACACTGTAAGTGAGCCGCCAACTAAATGCTTTCTTCTATAAAAGTTGCTGTGGTCATGGTGTGTCTTCACAGCAACGGAACATGACTAAGACAGACGTTGGTACCAGGAATGGGGGGTTTCTGTGATTGGCCCACTCTTGCTGCTTGCTGGTGGGCCGTTGAATGCTTTAAGCAGGGCTTAAGGGGCCATGCTAGTAGGAGTGTGGAAGACAGTGGTTCTGAGAGTGTAGATTGCGTAGACTAAGATGGCCCTGCCCAAGAGGGTTCAGAGAAGAAGAATATTAGTAAGTAGCCTAGAGACTGTTCTTGTGATATTTTTGGCAAAGAATGTGGCTGCTTTTTGTCTTTGTCCCAGAAATCTGCCTGAGGTCAAGTTGAAGAGTTTTGTATTACTGGTGTTGGTAGAGTAGGTTTCAAGGCAGCCCACTATTGACTGTGTCATGGATGTTAGCAATCACTTGTATGCAGATCTATAATGAGGAGGAGCAAGCTGAAGAAAGAGAAATACAAGACGTACAGTTTGAGGAGAGGGGGGGAACCAGAAAGTATAATGGAACAAAGTCCATGTTCAATGAGGTAAAAAGCTTAAAGAAAAGCCTGGTGCTAAATGGAATAAAGGGAGTGGTGACATCAGGGCAAGACCCCACCCATCTCAGCTTCCAACTTGTGAAAAAGAATTAAAGAACAATGTGAGCAATGAAGAAAACCAACAACAACAGAAAGCTAACGAAGACGTAGGTTCCACAGGGAAGGCCACGTCCCAGTCCCAGCAAGCAGCAGAACTCGGCAGCTCTGGCCTCATGGTTCTGGGTTAAGAGTTGAGGATTTAAGAAAAAGGGTTGTGGGATTTACCTCTGTAGCTAAGTGAAACCACTGAGGCCATGTGTGGAAGGGGTGTCCCCGCGTGGAGGCCTAGAGAGGCCATTGTGTGAAGCTGCGAAGGTGAATTCTGGGTTCTGTTTGAGACCCCCAAGATGTCATAGAAACCAGAGTCCTGGGACACTTGCTGAGGACAGTTTCAGACCGAGCGTAGAACCGGCACAAGAGAGAGAAACAGGCTGCAGTTATCAAAGCTGGGAAGCGTTGCAGACCTGAAGAGCCTTTTGGCGTAAGACACAGAGATGCAGAAAGTAGAATTTGTCCTGTGGTTTTCGGTCTTGCCTTGATCCAGTATTTCCTCCCTACGCTGCCTTCTCTTTCTTTTAGAATGGTAAAGTGTATCCCGTGGCGTTATATGCTTGAAGTACGCAATCTGCTTTTTTATTTTGATTTTACAGGGGATTACAGTTAAGAGATTGCATGAACTCCAGAAGAGACTGTGAAGTTTAAAACTGTGTTTAGACTGAGACAGACTCTGGGGACTTTTGGAGTTGCACTATGATCCGGCTACAAGCCTATGGGGGCCAGGGAGTGGACCTTGGTGGCTTGAGTAAGAATGGCCCCCGTGGGCTCTTCCATTTGAATGCCTGACTAGCAGTTGAAAGGATTAGGATTTGGAGGTGTGACCTTGTCGGAGGAAGTGTGCCACTGGGGGTGTACACTTTGAGGTTTCCAAATCCCATGCTAGGCCCAGGCATTCCCCCCCCACCCCCATTGATTAGTATGTAGCTCTCAAGGACCAGTTCTGCCTGCATGCTGCCATGCTTCCTGCCGTGATGGTAACGGACAGAGCCTCTGGCACTGTAAGCCAGCCCCCAATTAAGTGCCTTCCTTTATAAGAATTGCTGTGGTCATAATGTCTCTTCACAGCAATAGAAACCCTGACAAAGGTCCTTGGTGTGCTTGGGTGTCTCTAAATTCGTGGCAAGTTTCGGCAGTGCTGTCAGCAGAGGGTGTGTGTGGCCCAGATTAAAGGTGGATCTTCCCATCCCTAAGGTCTGGATTGGAAGTGAGTCTTCACACTTCAAATGACTTAATTAGGAAAAAAATAATCCCACTTTCCTCTTGTGGCCACCACTGGATCAAAGCTGCCAAAATGACGTTCACCCCTTTGTGACTTCTGACCGAAGCTAGAACGGCAAACGGCATTGCGATGCATCTTCCCTGCTTTCCACAGAGCTGAGACAGAAGTGCCGCACTAGACAAAAGGATTACGAAGTTCAGATTGTCCAAGGGCACCGCAAAGGCCAACAGATAGGCAAAGTGCTCCAAGGGCACGGGAAGGAATATGTAGTCTACACTGAACAAGCGCAGGGAGCAAAGGCTAACGCCACAGCTGTCCGTGTGGGTATCAGGCCCAGCCAGGTGGTCATCACCAGCTAAAGCTGGACAAAGACAGAAAAGAGATACTGGGGGCAGAAGCCAGGACTCAGCAGCAGGAAAAGAGAAGGACACATACAAGGAAGAAATGAATGAGAAGATGCAGGGTTGGAGGGGGGTCTCACACACAACTTTAACACTGCTTAAGTAAAGAGCAAAACAAACAAACAAACAAACAAACAAAAAAACAAACCCTTACCGGTGTACCCACCCACCTGGGTATTAGTTCATTCCAGATGTAGCCAAGTCGACAACCAAAGAAGTACAGTATCAAAATGAGTAAAACCAACATTGGCGTGCCTAACTTTTCCACATCCCATGAATTTTACGGGCACCCATTTCTGCCTGTGCATTTAGTTTCTGCCAAAGTCAAGACATGGGACCTCCACAAGCACGCCTTGCACTGCCTGCCATCTCAGCACCCACACCAACCTCCCCAGCTCCCGGGAGCCATCAGTACAAACCGTCTAATGTGGAATCTTTGGGCGCAAGCTTTTCAGGTTCAACATCAACGTCTCAAGGTATAGCCAAGCCGTGCGCATTAACAACGTTCTCTGCTTTCTCCTGAGTGGTTTATCCATTGTATGTCTGTCCAGCTACTCACTGAAAAACATTGGAGAGTTGTTTATGGTTTCACACACACACACACACACACACACACACACACACACACACACACACACGTCCACGAGCACACATAAAATCCTTGGAGGTTATTTGTAAGTATCTTCTGATCACAAGACCTTAAGAACAAAGACATGTAAAACCAGCGTGCATGAGAGCTTGCATGATGATGGTGTCTTAAGTAACACAATACTGCTTTAGAACACACTGTCCTACTGTACTGGAGTTCATAGAGTGGCTGGCTCATCAAAGATCTCTGCTGGGAGTAGAATAAGAGCCAGTTACATGGTGAGGGCAGCAGAGGAGTGGACCCAAATGAATAGACTTTAATGTGAATCAAGAGATTAAGGTGTCTGGATTCCCTGGAGGCCGGAAGGGTCTCGTGGACCCACTCCCTGGGATGCTTAGACGAGATGCTTCCAGGTCCAAAGGTGCAAGTCCTGAAGCACACTGTGGAGTGGGCGTGCCCACACTGACTGCAGGGTTTTCCGCTCTTAAACCAAATGTGGCCTTTGGATTCTCTCCGCTCCTAACAGGTCCACCCCGGGAACACCTTCTCTCCTCCCATTTTAAAGGGAAGCCATTTTCCATCAGTCTCCAGAATGTGAACTAGGAATTAGTCCTCAGGCTTGCCATCAGGTGAACCCTGGTCTAAAGAACAATTTAGCCATAGGCCTGACAGCTGGAGTTAGCCGTGATTACCACAAAGGGTTTTCACACTGACTGGCTACTAGGACATTCTTCCAACTGAGTACAAGCTCCGCCCTGTGCCAAATAGTCTTTCCCCTGGGTTTCTGATGCAGAGTCCATCTTTCATTTGTATAAATTGTTGTAAAATTAATTTAAAGTGTAAGACTTGAAAAATATGTAAATGTGCAGGATAGCCCACTTTAGTAGCTTTCTTGAACATTCTAAAATGCTTCTATTTTTAGCCAGACATGGTGGTGTATGCCTTTAATCCTGGCACTGGGGAGGCAGAAGAAGGTGGATCTTTTCAAGTTCCAGGACAACCTGGAATATATAAAGAGACCTTGTCTCAAAAAAAAAATTAAAACTAAAAAATAAAATGAGATGTTTATATATTTTTAAGCATTAACTTAATTTTACCAGTTTTTATTTGATATTATAGATAAATACCAAACTATCACAGCACATTTTATGTTATTTTTAAATCCCTTAATAGTTTTATGTATTCCTTTTTCTTACCAAGCAGATAATAATTTTAATATTATGAGCTTTCTAATGTGTATTACCTTTTTCTATAAGCGAATTAAATACAATGAAATAACATATAGAAAAATATTTTTTAAGATGAACCAGCAGAAAAAGAGAGAGTGACAGAAGGGACTAATAACCCTGATAACTATGGGGCTTGTAGGATTTTGATTGTGAGATTTATCATAGTTCCATCTTAACATATTGAATCTTCAGTCGTTTTTTTTTTTTTCCCCAATAAACAGGGCACCAAGATTTTGTGTGACTCATTCATCTTCAACAAAAAATGCTAGTGCTGAACTGAAATTCTGGCGCCTTCGGCAACAGAAACCAAGGGAAGATGTTGACCCTTTCCCTCA